TTTTCATTGAGAAATTGATTAATATAATAAATATGTGCAAAACTAAGATCAAGTGAAGTAAGATAAGGATATTCAATAGTTAACCATGATTTATCAATAAATCGAGAATTGTAGATGTTCAATGATGGTGGTTCATCGTTATTAATAGATAAATAGTTAAGTAATGGAAAAGCTTGAGCAATTTGAACGAAAAATTTATATTGGAATGGAATTATATCATATAATGTCAAATAAGTTACAGAATTAAATATCATATTCGGAAAATGATTGGAGATTTTTTCAAGATGATCAAATGTAAATGGAAGTGAAAAGACATGACATATGTTATCAAAATCAGAAAAATAATGTACACTACAAACCACTTGTCTATTTAGTGTATTTGTAAAAGTTCGTTGAATATCTGAATTAGATAGACGAAGTGGTAAAGCTTCAATTCGTTTTTCAGAACTAATATAAAAAGTAAATGTATGAAGTTGTAGCATATGAATAAGAATTTTATTATAAATATGAGTGCCATCAATGAATATTGTTCGTCTTGTGACACGAAGATATAAAGTTAATTCTTCTAGATTTAACATTCGCTGAAGAAGTGGCACAACTAACATATCATATTGGTCAGTATCATTATAAGACGTTAATGAGAAAACTTTTAAATTTGGTAGATCATTATTCTGCAAAAAAACAAAAAAAATCGATTCATTAGAAAATTACATTAACAATCATAAACTTACCAACATGTACGATGGTGATGATTCATAAACAATAGAATTAATGTAAACAATGAATGTAGTTAATTGTTGGAGATGACTATCAAGTAAAGCAAGACAATCATTAAAAATATTTACTCTAATAGATAATTTAGTAAGTGTTGAAGAAAACATATTTAATGATAAATTATCTAGCGAAAAAGGTGGATAATCTTTGTTGAATGCTCCAGCAATAGTTAAATGTGTTAGATTTTTAAATAGATTCAAGGCAACTGTATAGATATTATTAGTGTAGTCTTTCGAATGCATTTCTGTATTATTTTCATTACTGATAAGTGTCAGATCTTTAATTTGGTTATAAATATGCTGAAGATGAGGATCATCTAAATAAAAAAAAGAATATCAATTTTAATTTTCAATATTTTTGAATCTTAATGTTGTTTTTTACCTATAAAATAACGTGGGATAATTTCTTGATTGAAGTTGAAAAGTTTAAGTTCAGTAAGATTAGGATAACTGCCAGCATGAAGAATACGTCCTATAGAGGTTGATTCAAGAATAAGGTGTTTCACATTATAATGAATTCTTGGTAATACATTGTAACAGAATCTATCAAGCATTCGATCAGAAATTGAAGAAATATCATTAGTTAATGACGATATGGAAACAAAATTTAACATAGTAGTAAAGATTTTATCTTGTATTATATTGTCAAGCCGATGATTCATGCCAAATAAAGAATAAAGTATATCCATATTATCGAGTTTTTTTAAAATAAAAAATATTATTTCATAGGGTAGATTATAAAGATAAATATTATTATCTAATGTCATGTTTGGTTGTGATTTTAATGTTTTTCTCAAAATGATATATATATATAGGCTTTTATATTATTCTTTGTTTATAGCCGCCTGCTTCGTTGACGAATCATTTAGGTGACCTCATTGAAAAACTAATGAAATATTGATATATATAGTGCAATGTGTATATAGACGAATGCCGTACTTTGTATTGTTTCACAAACAAATAAGAAAAGATCTTTGTTAATCTTTGTATTTTATGAACTAGTCAGAATCATCTTCTAACAAATGGTTGGTTATCATTAATCACAAATCGTAATCTCTAAATTCATTTCTATATGATATCCACATTTGTCGTTAATTAACAGTTATGATTAATTCTGATGACTAAACTAAAATTTTGATTTAAGTATTTTACACTTTACCGATATTTTTTTGAATTATCAGATATACCATAATTCAACGGCATCTTCCATAGTGCTAGACATTTTTATTACTGTTGGAATCAAGCACTGCAGCAGATTGTTAGTAATAAATTCTATATGATTCCTTATTGTATACAAGAAAAGATTTTCACAAGTACTTTCATTAAAAAAAAAGTAGTAGAATTATGTGTGGATGTGAGTAGAGAATACAAATTTCCACACCCGGTTGGCATTCTCAATAACGAAAACTATTGATACAAATATACTAAGGGGAAAAAATCTTTATTGCTTTGAAGAAAACGATTTTAATAAATCAATTAAATAATACACGATAACAAAGCTAGTACCTTAAAAATCGGTTTCAGTTTAAATTGAGTATGAATTTAAATTTTATAACAACCGTTCTCAACAGTAATAACATTTTTATCAGTTAGCTGTTGAAAAATATATCCATAGATCAAATTCGGCAAATCCTTTTGATAATCATACATTGTCTTGACACCACTAGCTGCAAGTATTAATCCACCAGCAAGCATACCAAATAAAGGCGTAGCAATTGCACCAACACATACACCAAGAGAAAAAGCTCCAATACCACAAGCTATTAACTTTTGTTTATCGAATGTTTTGATCTGCGTAGCTCGAACAGTCAAAATATCATATTTACCATCGACGATTTTGCCAAATACAACAATTGTATTACGTTCTATTGTATCACCTGATGTTGCGGCTAACCATGTTGATTGCTCTTCAGATAACTTCTGTATTTCTTTGAACATAAATTGTGCATTTTCTTTATGTTCTAATTGAATTAATTCTTGCAGTTCATCTAGCTGAAGACCACAAGTTTTATCATAAGTTAACTGAAAACCTTTTTGCATTAATTGAAGTAAATCTTCATTTTTTGATAATTCTTCCATACAATGTTCATAATTCTGAGGATTAAGTATGTTGAATTCTTTTTTATTCATATCGTTGATTAAATTACTTTCTTTAATAGTTTTGAATTTGCTCGTATTCTTTGAGTTTTAATTATAAAAGTAGTCGTCACGTCTTTATGTATGATCAAGAAGAGAAATGCAAGATAAAATAATAATTTATTTTAACTAAACAAAAGAAAAAAGAACAACAAGGGAAAGGCAGTGAATATGAACATACATTGTAGGAACGATCAAATATATGCATATGTTACAAGATTCTCTTTTCCATTCGTTTATCTTATTTCATTACCTCAATAGAGATGATATTATAGATGTCATGTGTCGTTTTTCTGCAATTTTATTGATCGATGGAACGTTACTAGTATAGATCAGAGACCGGCCGGACAAGGATTTTTCTGTCCCGTCCCGCCGGTTTCTGGTATAAATCAATCAATGAAAGATTTCAAATATATTCTTCCAGCAGTATTTGTTGCTCAATAATTTTATTTGAGTCAAATGAATTTAATTATCTTTACAAAAACATAAACACCAACATAAAGAAAACTAAAAATACATAAAATTCACTAATGCAACTTTTTTCTAATAGTCATTTTAAATTAAACTCGTCTCGTAGGTTTGAAACTATATTTTTCACTTCTTATATTAAAAGAATTATTTGGTAAGTGATTTCTTTAATTTATAATAGATAAAAATTAATTTCTCTTAATTTTTCTTCATACTTGTCGGGTTTAGACCCAATTGTATCGTATTTCGAAAAAAAGCAAAATATTTCTGTCATTTGAAAAATCTCAAAACAAATAATATCACAAAATTATTGTTTTTTATGGCAAACAAACTGATGGAAAATATGATGTTTTAGTAGTTAGCGCTACACAAACTAAAGAACTTGCTATTGACAAATTAGTTGCATGCGGTATTGGTTCAATATGTGTTGGAATTGCTGTTAGTGTGATCACAACTAATCCAGATCTTGGCTATAAAACAACTGCTACAATTGTGGGTGTGAGTATGGGTGAAGTTGTGGATCTGGGTCTGAGTGAGTGTGGGTGTCGGCTTGAATTAAATAAAACACCCACACCCTCCACTTTCTGTGCGTTCCTGTAGAATTCTGCAGGATTCGATGGTCGCAATGTTCGACCTAGGTATATCAATATGATTTTTCGGTACAGTAGATGAGATTACAATTCATGTATTTTCTCAATTTCTTGTTCTTTTTTTTTATAGAAAGACATACCAACATCTACACTCGATAAAATCAAGGACGTTTTTATCGATCAAAACTTACGACGCATGGTTTTTCTTGACGACGATCGACTATACGCCCTCAATTCATGTTCGATATACGGGTTTTACAACGGTCGAGCACGAGAGGAGGACGAAGACATTATTTATGTTAATAAAGAGGTAATGTATATATTCTCCAAGGGTAAACAACAGAGACTTCATGCATGAAGTCTCATGAAGTCTTGAAAGTCTTGGAAGTCTTCTGAAGTCTTGGAAAACTTGGAAGTCCTTCGAAGTCTCGCTTGTTGAAGTAGGTCGAAGTCTTTTGAAATCTTTAAAATGTTGAACTGCGCTGCTTCCCCCTAGATTTTTTCCTAGATATTATAGTAAATTTATCGTTTTTAATTAGATGTTGGTATGCCCAAAGTTGACAAACAGTGTCAACGAACAAGTGAAATATGCTGCCTTGATTTTGTTTACTATATTGCATGAAATGGGTCATTGGCATTTCTTTAAACATGGTTGTAATCTCAATGATGAAATAAGTACTCCTATTGGTACGTTGAAGAAAGAGTTCGAGATTATATGTGCTCTGATTTGTTTCATTCTACTAGGGATTTTAATGGAAGAATCAGGTGATGCCATTGAAATATTACTTTTTGGATTTCGTATTCAACATTATGGTCCTTCCGATCCAAAGTTTCTTGTAGGTATACTGAACCAGCTTTATTTTACAATAAATATACTACTTAGGATAATCGATTCTGTCCGAAGTTTTTCAGAAATAAATAGTGCTAGTGAGAAAACTTCTTATCAATATTTCAACTTGATAGGTCAAATTAAATGGAGGTTCTAAATGACATTCACAAAGATCTGTATAAGTTTTGCACAAGAAGAGAGTCAACATTTGGAGCGCTTCAAAATTCGTTTCCATGTCATTTTAATGACTCTTTCAGTAGAT